AGGAAAGAGAGGGACGGTTGCAACGCCTTCTCTTCCACTTCTTTATGATTTCTAAAGGGGAAGGAGTTTCTCGATGGGGAGTGGGGAAATTGGGGGAAGCGATCGGGAAGGAGGCTGCTCGGTCCTTTTGGCTGATTATATATACTTTTTTTATAAATAATAATATAGTATTTATTATTATTATTCCTTATCCGCGGTTGCAACCCTTTGTACGTAACCGTTAACCCAACCGTTCATATATTTTGGTCGAACCTGAACCCAAAGGTCGAGGTGTTACAAGTGCATTGGTAACGCTACCAGTGCACTGGTACAAATATCAGATATGAGTTTAATTGCAGTGGTACAAATATCAGAGCAGTGGTACAAAAATCAGAACTGGAAATCGAAAAGTCAGATGTGGAAATTGAAACTCACCGAGAGAGGAGTGTGGGGGAGGAGGGTGGCACAACGACGACGGATGGTAGCAACAGCGCCGGATGCATGGGGAAGAGGGCGGAGTGAGGTGATGGCGGCGGTGGGAGGAAGAGGAAGATGACAAAGATGAATATGGTGGTGGGATAGTGGTGGCGACGTGGAGGAAGAGGCTGGAGGGATGGTGGTGATGGCGGCGGCAGGAGGAAGAGGAAGATGAACATGAATGAGAAATAGGGTTATTTTTCGGGGAGAGAGAGAGAGAGAGAGAAAGAGAGTTTTCTCATATTTATTATTGGGAACTTTTCCAAGTTAGAGAGAGAACGGGGCTTTCACATAATTATTATTGGGAACTTTCCCAAATTACAAGATTAAAAATAAACAAAAAACAAGTTTCATTCATATTTGCCAAATGATTGAAAGGAAAATGGATCAATAAGAAAGGGGGTGTTAGGCATGCTATCTTACCCCATTTTATCAAATAAAGAACTTTATGAGCTATTAAACTATGAATTTATGAACTTTGGGAGCTAATTTTCATGTAGTTACGTGTTAAGTAATTGTTATTCATTTGTACAAGGGTAGGAAAATGTTGTAAATTGTTACTTCGTTTATCGTATAATCATATAGTACAAATTGTTATTTTTTCTTCCAACACCTAGGCATGCTTAGACAAAGTGTCCATGCGTGATAGGTAAGACCATAACACCCACTTTACGTCTAGCATTCTTGAATCACGGCTAAAACCACATGTCATAGTCACTTGCGAGCATCAAATTATGAAGCACCACATCAGCATATGAAGTTTTGCTGCTATGTTTGAACAACTCAAAAAGAACAAGAAGCCACGAACAAAATATAGCATCCTCGAACCATTCCTGAGATGCAGTGCATCATTGATGCAAGCCTTGAGCATGAAGGAAAGCCTAACTAAAAGTGCCTCAAAACTCATTAACGATCATATTCCTATACCACCAACCACGACGACGTTCGAGTAGACTCAAAATCACGACATTGTTTTGATACATGGCAGATCAGTACTTATAAGTTTGATATTACAATCGCTATTAAGAAACTATCCCTCACTTTTTCTTCGAGAAACCTCTCCCAAATTTCCCAGAAACCCTAACTTAGCACCCAAATTCCCCTCCCAAATATGGCTCGCTCCTAGTTTCCCCTCCTAAATTTCTCTGTTCCATGCTCCTTCAGTTTTTTATTCCAATATATCCCACCAGCCAAAACCCTAGAATTGAACCCCTCTCTCCCCTTGAAACCTCTTCGTCCTCCCACTCCTGCGCTTAGAGTTTTGTTTTCCTCAATACTCGATCAAATTCCGACGAACCCACCTGCCTATTCACTGTAACTTCAGCACCACCACTATTTGCCACAACATATTCATCTTCCCCGCTAACCCGATCAACATCCCCGCCGCACCGTGAACCAGAAATCACGGTGATCAAAATCCGCCATCGAAAAAACTTATTGCAGCAATTTCTCCCTCCATCCAGCTCTTCCGCCGAGTTGACCCAGGCTGATACTCCACTATTTGCTGACCGATTCTGCTGTTGCTCTTACCTGATCAACAAATCAGCAAATTGAGGGTCAAATTTGGTCGTCCTCTCCAGCTTCTGACTCAAGGCCTTCTTGGAGCCTACTCTTGCCGTCATTCAAAACCTTATTCCTTACACGGGCTGTGATTACAGTAACATCTAGCGTTGTTACTCAATCCACAGTTTCTGCTCTGCCGGTGAAATCGCCTTGTTGCGACTTGTATTCGTTCCATCAAATCCTACTCTTCGTTATGAGTGTCCTATGTTGGAATTGTCGAGGCTTTGGCAATGCACTGGCGAGGAAGTCTTTACTAGCTGCTACGTTTAGTAGGTCGCCTTTGGTTGTTTTTCTTTGTGAAACCAAGTGTCGGGATACGAAGGTTAAGAATCGTTTGCGTCATTTAGGATTTCAACACTCTATTATAGTTAGTCCAGTTAATACTACAGGGGGTATGGCGGTGACCTGGACCTCTAAAGTTGTGTGTACTGTTTGGCGTCAGTCAGGATCTTTTCTATTTGTGAATTGTGTTCATCAGGTTTATGGAGCTATGCTCTTCGTCTTTGTTCATCTTGCTTGTAATAAAGATTAGCGTTTGGCTCAATTAAATGAAATTTATGTTGCTCTTTCTTCTGATGCCTTGCCATATTTCAATTTTGGTGACTTTAATTGCCTCTTGTATGCGATGACTCGATATTTGCACATGTTTTCCCCTTTGTTTCATGATCGTTTAAGCTTGCATTATCGCTTATTGGCCTATTTTATGCTAGGTTGTGTTTCTTTGTCACATTTCAGGTCCCAAGCATCGAAGGAAAGGCTAGGCGCAAGTTTCAAGTAAATCGGATACCAATTGGCGATTCAGGAGAAGAAACTCGGGCATGACCTAAGAAGAATGGATTTATACCTCATTTATGGACGAAGAATCATGTAAGCTTGTGATGAAAAGAAAGAGGACGAGACTACGAGCGTCTGGGATCAAACGGCGGCTAATTCGGAGTCCGGACGAGGGAGAAACGAAGCATTGAATATAGGGGAACAGGTTCGGCAGTAAAAACACGGGCAGACTACCCTAAAAACACGCCCGTGTTTTATCTGCCCCCCCCCCCCCCCCCCCCCCCCGCTAGTGTTTTTACTGCCGAGGGCGTGTCGTGAGGGCTGCTGGTGGCAAAACACGGGCGGGCAAAAGTAAAACGTGGTCGTGTCCTCGACCGTGTTTTGCCCAGAATCGGGATTTTGAGGCAGATTCAAGCCAAAGGAAAGGGAGGGCTGGGTTTTGGTTCCCCAAACACCCAAGGGACAAACCCTAGAGAGAGAGAACAACTTGGGAACATTCTTGGAGCTATTTTGGAGGATTTTTGCCATTGGAGCTCGGGAATCAAGCTTGGAGATGGAGATTGAATATCTAGATCAGATTTATGCAGTCTCTCTCTCTTCTCTATGGAGTAACTTCCCTTCACTTAGGTTAAGAGAGCTTCCTTGATTGATAGTGGTGAATTGGTTGTGCGAGAGTCAATCAATTCACTACTTTGTACTGGAATTCATTCCAGTAGTGGAGATCTGTGTGAATTGCCTTAGCAGTCTATCCCGGTGAAGGCTAGTCGCCTGCCGGGTATTCTGTCTAAGAGGGCTTGGTCAGCTTAAGAGATTCCAAGCTAATTTAGGATCTTCTGCAGTTTAATCAACAGTAGATCAACCAAAGGTAATTGCAACTTGGACCTAATTGATGAGCAAGGGGAATCATACGTAAGTGAGTTCCCAACTTGTAATTAGTAGAGTAGTTAGTAGAGTAGTTTAGTAAATCAATCCTTAATCTAGTTTGCTAGATAATGAACTGAAGCTAAGTAATAGTAATTCTAGAGACCCGTGGATTCGATATTTATTACTTGTGCCACTATACTGCAGTCCCTTTCATTGGTTACACTTGGCCATTGTTAGGTGTTGTGTCGTAGCGTGTCAGTATGCTATTGAGAAGGTTGGTGGCCGACCCCCAACTCCTCGCGCTTTGTCATTGTTGCAAAATATGCTGGATCATCATAAATTGCAGGATCTTGGATTTCAAGGACCTACTTTTACTTTGTTGAATAGACGCTCGTCCACTATTCACATTATTGAGAGACTCGATCGATGTTTGGCTTCCCCATTGGCTCTCTCCTCCTGGGCGGGTATGAAAGTTCTTCATCTTTCTGATTTAGGCTCTTACCATCAAATGCTTTGTCTCCATTTACATCAGGCAGTATCAAGGACTAAGGCCAACTTTCATTTTGATTGTCGTTGGATTGACAGCCTTGAAGCACACGCTATCCTTAATTCCGAGTGGAGACGAATGGGCAGCGGTACCTACCATTTCCTTCTTCATAATGTACTAAAGTCTTCGAGGCATCAACTCTATGTGTGGGCATCAAAAGGAACCTCCGATGCTGCCCGACAAATTTGTGAGCTTCAAGATACAATAGCTACCCTCCGGAAGGCTGCCATGGTGGATTGGTTTGCCATTTTGCTACTTTAGAACACGATCTTTCTATTGCCTTTTTATAGGAGGAAATATATTGGGAACGGAAGTCGTGGGGTTCATTACCTCGTAGAAGGGGACCGAATACTCGATTCTTTCATCTCACGACTTTAGGCAGAAAACGCAAGAATCGTATTTTAGCCTTGCGAGATGAGAATGATGTGTTACATACAAAAGAGGCTGCTAAAGGTTGTGTAGCTGTTAGCTATTAGATTTTTGTTTACATCTGAATGTTCACAGGTAGCGTCTTTTGTGGAATGCTTACGATTGCCGCAACTGATTACTCCTACCATGAATGCTGCATTGGTAACCCCGATTACCAGAAGAGGTTCTTGTGGGGTCAACAAGATCGGAGGGATGGTATGAAGTGGACATCATGGCGTGCCCTATGCTGTCACAAGCTTCAAGGTGGACTCGGTTTTCGTGACTTAAACAACAATATACTTGCACTTCTTGCAAAGCAGGCTTGGAGAATCTTACAAAACCCGGACAACATGCTTGCAGAGTTGCAGTCATGTATAAGACCAAATATTTTTCCCTGGCTTCATTTTTGCAGGCGCTTTTAGGATCTAGGCCTTCTTGCGCTTGGCATGATAGTTTGGAAGGTCGCGATCTATTGTTGCAAGGCATTCGGTGGAAATTAGAGTGTGGTACTATGGTCCACATAACAGAGGATGTCTGGCTTCCAACAACTCCACCCTCTCGTCCTCGATTGCTTCCACATGTTCGTCTTCATTCGTCTCAAGTTTCTTATTTGATCCGAAGACAGTAAAGGTAATCTGTAGCATCCCTTTACCTACTCTTCCCACGCAAAAGTTAAAATGCTAACAAGCCCTTTTGTTAGCAGATACTAACTCGTATCCAAAATGGCTGAATTAATATCCACCTTATAGACAAATTATGGCTACTGAAAATATTTCGATAAAACTAGAAAAATTAGGAAGAAAAATAGATGAATATCAAGGAAATCTAATAAATATATTAGAAGACAATAATAAGCAATTAAAATCAATATTAGAATATCAAGGTAATGAAAAACAAAAAGATATATATTCAGATTTAGAACACGCTAAGGATACAATTACCAATATAATAGTGGATATAAAACAAAGAGAAATAGAAATGGGAAAAACAACTCCAAATTCTAAGGAAATAGTATTACCGGTAGAAGATCTTAAGGAAATCATTATTAAACTTCAAGAAATAATAATTAAATTAGATAATAAAAGAAGCATTACAATTGAAGATATAAAAGAATATTTGAATGAGCATAAATCAGGAAAATCTATCCCATTAACTATCATGGCACCCTACAAACTTCTATGACTAGTATTGACGAACAGATTAATAAATTAAACGATTTACTAGCCGCAATTACTATTGAATCAGAACCAGATATAGAAGAAAATATAGAAAACGATAAAATAGTTCTTGACTATAGTAGTGACGAAAACCCCTATAAAAATTACACAAATACAAATTACACGAAAACTGAAACTGAGGATCAAGCTGAAACATCACGAAAGCGTGATTTTAATGACTATAAAGATGGTCAACTATTTTTTGATGAATACTTATATAAAAATTCGTATACACCTCGCAAAGGGGGAGGATGGAGTAAAATACCTCAATCTTACATACCAAAATATTCCACCACTAGTTTTAACAATCCTGATATATTAGATCTTGATTGTTGCGTCAACCCATTAAAAGAATTAGAAGACTGGAAAAATCGAACAGGATTACTAATACAAACTAATGAAGATCTAAAGAAATTACACCCTAATGAAATGTTTAATTTCTTAATATATAAAACAACTGGGGCAGTTTATCATTATCTTAACAACATGGATATTCCTTCTAAGACAACGTTATATGGAACAACGGATGCGACGAATACCTTTGAAAAAGTCTTAAATGCAATAACTCATGAATTCTTAGGACGACATCCTCGAGAAGATAAACCAAACACAACCATAAGTCAACAAGCTATTTGGCATTTAACTAATCTTAGAATTTGCAACATGTGCTTCTTAGAACCATTTATTTGTGAATTCAGAACACATTATTATCAAGTCACCCCTTCGATAAGAAAAGAGATGGATAAATTACTCTATGCTAAATTACCACCTAATGTCTCTGAAAAAGTTGAAGCTACCTTTAATGAAACTTTGGCTAGAGAAGAGATACCAAATACATTAGGAGGACGAATATTAGTTTTACAAGAATGGCATAAACAAGCTTGCAATAAGGAAAAACTAAAGAAAGAAGCTAAAATTAAACTCTGTTGTGAACAAACAATGGACAGAGTTGGAAAGTATGGGTGTAATGATGATCGTAAGATCATTAAAACTCGGAAAAAATATAGAAATTATAAAAAATGGAGAAAAATACCTTACAAGGAATATAGAAAAAATAGGTTTAGAAAACCGAATAAATATTTCAGAAATAGAAAACAGTTTAAACAAAAATCAAGACAACAAGAATACTGTCCTAAAGGAAAAACAAATTGTAGATGTTGGTTATGTAACGAAGAAGGACATTACGCAAATAGATGTCCTAAGAAAAATACTAACACTAGAAAACAAGAAGTCCTTAGATTAGCTTACGATTGTGGTTTTGAACCAATCGAAGAAACAGATTTTGAACTATCCGATATAGAAATTATTGAATATATTTCAACCTCAGAAACCTCTTCAGATGAGTCAGAAGAAGGTTTTAACTAAGGGCAATCCTAACGCAACATTTATTAAAATAGAAATAGAGAAGAAAAGCTTCTTAGCATATATTGATACAGGGGCAACCTTATGTTTTGCCAAAAAATCAACCATAAAAAAATGGGATAAACTTGAAAAACCTTTAAAAATTATAGTGGCAGACAAATCTATCCATGAAATTTGGTATGTAAAACAATATGTACCAATAATTATTGAAAAACATATCTTCACAGCTAAAACAATCTATCAACATGACTCAGGACTAGATATAATAATAGGAAATAACTTTCTAAAATTATATCAACCATTTATCCAAAGGATTAGAACAATCAGCCTTAGATGTCCTAAAACAATAGATCAGGAATCTAAGATAATCACAACAAGAATAATCACAAAAAATGAAGTGCTAAAAATTGTGCTTCAAAACCTCAAAAATAGACTAGAATATATACAGATTACTTATAGCATTCTAGAGGATACTTTAGACCAGGTGTGTAGTGAACATCCTTTAGATAAAGATAAAAATACCAATCAAGAACTTATCGAAATTAAACTAAAAGATCCTAAAATGGAAGTTAATGTCCCTAACAAAATTCAATATACCCAACGAGATGTAGAAGAATTCCAAAAGGAATGTTCAGAGTTAGCTGAAAAAGGAATAATACGAGAAAGTAAAAGTCCTCACAGTGCACCAGCCTTTTATGTAGAAAATAATAATGAAATCAAAAGAGAAAAAAGAAGAATGGTAATAAACTATAAAAAACTAAACGAACAAACAATAGGAGATAGCTATAAACTACCTAGGAAAGACTATATATTAGAAAGATTAAAAGGTCAAACGTGGTTTAGTAGTTTAGATGCTAAATCTGGATATTGGCAACTTCGTCTACATGAGAATACCAAACCTTTAACAGCCTTTTCATGTCCACCACAAAAACATTACGAATGGAATGTTCTCCCATTTGGAATGAAACAAGCACCAGCTATTTACCAACGGTTTATGGATCATGTATTAGAAGGTTTTCAATCGTTCTGTTTGGCATACATTGATGATATTATTATTTTCACAAATCAATCAGAAGAAGACCATCGTGAAAAAATCTTGATAGTTTTACAGAGAATAAAAGAAAAAGGTCTAATTATCTCTAAGAAGAAATCAAAACTTCTTCAAAGAGAAATTGAATATCTTGGTATGAAGATTAATAATTTGGGTGAAATTGAGTTGTCACCAAACACTAAAGAAAAAATCGATAAATTCCCAAACCAACTTGAAAATAGAAAACAAATTCAACGTTTTCTTGGATGCTTAAATTATATAAGCGAACAAGGATTTTTAAAAGATTTAGCAAAAGAAAGAAAACATTTACAGAAAAAGATTTCTGACAAAATCCCTTGGTCATGGAATGATCAAGGTACAAAAATAGTTTTATTAATAAAGGAAAAATGTCAGCATTTACCAAAATTATATAACCCTTGTGAAAACGATTTTCTAATAATTCAAACGGATGCCTCTAAGGACACTTGGGCAGGGTGTATATACAAAATGGTAAGGAATTATTACAAATGGACAATTTTGGTAATGTCAAAATAGACAATAACGAGGCTACTGTCTCTGGCCAAGAGCCTAAAGATTATCAGTCTTCGGACAATATTATTGAACTTTCAAGTTCTCAATCATCAGTTCCTTTCAACAGTGATAAATATTCTAAGAAATTATGTAAATATATTTCTGGAACGTTTACCGCCACTGAACAGAACTATCCGATCCACGAATTAGAGACACTAGCCTGTCTCAGAACATTGAAAAAATGGAAGCTTGAATTATTATCTACAAGGTTTGAACTTCAAACCGACTCTAAATATGTAACAGGTTTTTGGAGGTACAAGCTTCAGGCAGATTTCAACAAAGGGAGATTAATCAGGTGGCAGCAACAACTCCATTATTACAATCCTTATCTGAAGTATATCAAGTCCAGCAACAATCCCTTCACAGACACACTGACTCGAGAATGGAAGGATTCATAAAAACCCTCATCAATCAACTAAGGCAGAAGCAGGAAAAAAGTGCAGCACTGGAACAACAACTTCTCCTTTGCAGGGGGGAGGAAGAAGCAATAATTCAATCAATCGACGTCATTCAGCAACAGTTAAAAATCAACTACATCAACGTCAGAACATTAACAACTAGCTCCACTAGTGGAAAGCCATCAACACTCACCACAGAACCTGCTGAAAAAGAAAAGTCGACAGCAACACAATCATCCACCACTACCAGCAATAATATACAAAAGACGACACGATGGGCAGACATCGTTGAACAAGAAGAAAAAGAAACAAAAGATTCCCACTATGAAGAAGACGACAGAAAAGGCAGCAAGTGGTATGTCATATTCAATGGACCATACCGAGGAGTATATCATAACTGGGCCATCGCTAGCCAGCACATCAACGGCAAACCAGTCCAACATCAATCATTTAAAACAAAAGAAGCAGCCGACGAAGCATACAGACAATCATACAAGGTGATGGCAATGAAAGAACCACTCAAGAATCAAGAGCAACAATCGCAGAAACTCGTCATGAAGATACCCAGTATCAAAAGCATCCTAACCACCAAGGAAAAAGAAGAGCAATTAAAACCAATCTTTCAGAAGTTCATATCCAACTGGGATATGATAATCAACTATGAAGAAAAACACACGACCATGGGTTTCTACCCCGTCAGTCGAGGAGGACCCAAAGCAGTAATCACAGAAGAAGCATCACCAGAACTCTCTTTTGAGTTCCATCAATATGGATTAATCGACACTATCTACACTACAACCATGAAGGTATTTGAATACTTCCCACAAAGAATGAGGAACGTAATCAGAAGATATCTCGAGCTATTCGCCAAGGAAAGAGAAATATTTCTCAAGTATACAAGCAGCTACCCCGTATTCGATCAAGACAAACTATTGATCGGATCAAAGGCAGTGATCCTCATGGGAGTATCAAACCATGATTACCCTACCAGAGATGACCTACGAGACTATGAGAAGAACCCAGACTACCAAGTAAAGGGTCTTCTTGCAGTATGCAGAGCTTTAACCAAAATTGAACCGGAAAGCCAGATTAAAGTCAATTACAGCAGCCCCGATGCCATCATCACCAGCAAAACAAGAGGAAACATGACCAAAGAAGAATGGGCAATCATAACAGATAAAATTAAGGAATTCACGGAAATTAATGGGAATCTGTCAGCCCTTCCCATTCAAATCAAGAAACAGTTATGCAATGAGCTTACTATCTATGAAGATCATCTCTGTGAGTGGTGTGCAGCAACTGATGAAGACATCAGTGGACCAGCAGACCAAGACTGACAGAAGCATGTGAAGAAAAAGGAATCAAACATGGAATAAAGCGACAAAAGAAGGTTGGCCGACTCCTTTAAAAAAGTCGTGCATTATTGTATTTTATCAGCTTTCTTATCGTTTCACGCGTTTTCTTTTAACACATTAGCTTTACGTCCCTGTTGCACAAACGTAAGCAATGACGTCTTTGTATCTCCCCTCAGCTCTATATAAGAGCAAGAGTTTGCAATGAAATAAGGCAGAACGAGTTTGGCCATAAAAATTGCCTGTTTACTCTCTCCCTCTAGCTAGCTAGTTGTAAGGCTTGGATCCACTGATCCTGGAGACCACAATCATTTTCAATATAATCAAACGCACGGAAGGAAGCTACAATCATCAAGCGATCATCAAAAGGCTCAGAATTTCATCAGAAGAGCAAGTCAGGTATGTCTGATAATCCTACCTCAAGTTATTTTGACTATTTAAACAAAAATGATAATGAAAACTACTTCTTAGATGGTGTTATAGACATTAAGAAAATTAGAGAAAAAACTAATTTTACTATTTCAGAAACTCAGAACTTTATCACTAAGTCTTTTTTATCAAAGCTCTTCGATAGAGAAAACATTATTAAATATGGTAAAATGATAGGTGAAGTAGCAGTCCCTATTGATCAAACTAAGGGTGATTTCCTAATCCAAGTAATAAATAAAGAACAAATCAGAAAAAGATTAGCTAAACTAAGACCAGAAGAACGAAATAAAATAGCTTATATTCATATTAGTACAATTCAAATTATATTAAAATCAACCATGAAAATAGGAATTGACGCACCCATGGAATTAGAAATTCGTGATGATAGGCTCCTAAACGAAGAAGAAAGTATTATTGCTAAAGGAACGGGAAATTTAGGAGTAGGAATAATTAAATTCGACATTAACCTGCAACAAGGATTAAGCCTGGCAGATGGTAATCTTGACTCTTCTATCATTATAAAATACGAATTAAAAAGAGAAAATTTTATGAAAGAGAATAGCAAACCATTTTCAGTAACTTATCAAATAAACTACGCATTAACAAATAGTCACCACAGCTTAACCTTTAAAAATAAGGAAGTAATTACTATAGAAGATTTATTTAAACCTTTAATTCAACTAGAAGCACCATTAAAAACTGTTAGAATAGAGCCTAGTCGACCATCAATAACCCAAGATCAAAGACAATTAATTAAAACACAATCAGAGAGAATTAGGCATATCCCAGTAATTGAACAAAATTTAGAACAAGAAGAGATAACCAATAATCAAGTAAATAAATTAATTGAAGAGATAACCAATAATCAAGTAATAAATAAGTTGGAAAAATTGCAACATTCAATCGCAAATCTAGAGAATAAAATCTAAAACATGCCTACTAATTATCATATAAATAAATTAATTGAAGGAATAGATGCTATAAATCTCACTTCAATAAATTATATCAATACGGTCACACAAGAACTAACTTATTTTGCTTCAGAAATCGTAGAGGAACAAATGAGTATTGGAATCACAGAAACATTAGAAGAAGCTATCTCTAAAACCGAATTAATTACTGATATAATAACTAGCCTAAATAAAATAAAACAAAGATTACTAAACCAATAAGACATTTATAAAAATATAAGAGAGTAGCAAAAAAACATGGTATCAGAGCCCAAACCGATCAACTACCCGAATTATTTAGTTCGCAAAGACTTGGATATTAGTTCATACACCATTGGATATCAGTTAGTATCTACTAACAAAATGACCAGTTAGCAGTTTAACCAGGTTGCTCTTCCCATGGCTGATCGTATTGTTTGGCATTATGAAAATTCAAACGAATATTCTATTAAGTTGGGTTATCATCTTGCCTCAGCTGATTTTGTGAGAGACCTTTCTACCACACCAAGTCTCTTTGATTCCAAGTTCTGGAAAGTTCTCTCGTCTCTCCCTGTTCCACCAAAATTACGGTTCTTTTTATGGCGCTTAATTAATGGTTTTTTACCCGTTAAGGATGTGCTGCGTGATGTTGAAGGATTATCTTGCCCAGTCTGTTCGAGGCCTTCAGAAACTATCCCTCACTGTTTCTTAGAGGGTAGAGTTGCTGTGGGTTTATGGCAATTGGCAGATTTTGATCGTATTTTAACTTCAGTGCGGTCTTTGCATGTAGCTGCAGGTTGGCACTATATTTTCTTTGATGCAGGTCTTGACAAGGCTGCAATTTTCCGACTCGTATTCCTTTACTGGCGAATTTGGAAAGGGAGGTGTTCCTCAGCATATGCGGGCATTGTCTTTCTTCTTCGGACACTACAGAGGCAGTTTGATTCGTAGGTGGCAGAGTGGTCAACGACACAATTGGTTTCTTCTTCTTCTTCTTCTTCTTCTTCTAGGGGATCCTTCACGGTTAGAGCAACTAGCAGGCCAACAGTGCCTCCAGCTATTCCACTCAATTTCATCTTAGTTCACTTTGATGGTGCTTTGAAAGCTTCGGTTGGCGGAGCAGTGGGCTTTGTGGGATGCTCAAGAGCTCGTTTTGCAGGAGTTCGCTGCACTACTCTCATATATCAGTGCATGCTCGGATTACCGGTATATTCTGTGGAGGCTTTTTACATGTTTTTGTGTTGAAGTGTCGCCAGATCTAACGAGTTTGTTTCTCTACTTCAATTTTCAGCATGGCTAGTTCATAACTTTGATCCTTTTAAGGAAATAAATCATAATATTGTCTGTGCTGTTAAGGCACTAAGAGTTGCCCATATCGTGGCAAAATATGCCCTCTCTTCGTTGATTCAACATCTGTTGACCAACACGCTTTTTTTTTTTAATTTGACCGATTTCGGTCATGTACTTATTTGTATCTGGCTTATTCCGTTCCGGAATATTTTTCGCAAAAACAAAAAGTTTGATATTACAATCATTGCATTATAGCATTCAAGGAAACAACACACGAACAAGGCTTTGAGGAGAATTGGACATAAATACCAGTTGATAATTTTACAACATCATGGAAGTTTAGACATTACAAGCGAGGAGGTTCAGGATATTATAGGTCCATTGGCCGGGTGGTTGGTCAGCCGGACGGCCGTACAGAAGAAGGGAAGACTCCGATTCCAAGTAATCAGCTTACTATATATATGTAAGGTAGAACAAGGACTCACAATATCATAACAACGACGACAACGAATCTAAATCTTTACCCAACTATATATATCTATATATAGGCTGAAAAGAATGGAACTGAATGCCTGACTGACAGTCTCGTTAACAAAAAAGAACTATGAAACTTTTAACTTTGCAGGAAAATTTGTTGGCCCATTACAAAACATACATTTCGACAAGCCAATTTATCTGGAGATTTTCAAGTTGGGGGGTTGAGGCTCTTTCATCCTCAGGCACAGACGTCGCCTTCCGAAGAGTTCTTACTTGCCGAATAAGGCGATGCACTGGACACCCTGAAACACAAAGGAAAAGGGTTTCAGTCGTTCAGACTCCTGAGAGCGATGATAATCAGAAGGTGGTTATATATTTGATGATCTGCAAGCAAACTGTTGGCAAACATACCTTTCTTTGCGCTTCTCCAAAAACCGAGCCAATGATGCTTTCCGGGCCTGGGGTATACGAACCTGCTGAGGCAGCCCTACTGCAATGGGAGCAGGTCCTCCACAGGAACTAGTTTGGATCGAAGATGGCTCGAAATGGATGTTAGGTGATGACACGAGGGATCTCGCTGTTCCGGATTCACTGCTCGTACTTGAGCTCACAGAAATGGGACTCGGCATGCTTGACACTGGAGGTGTTTTACTGAATTTGTTCGCTGCAAAATGATGGTCCATAACGAGGGAGGTTTGGACAGCAGGCTGCATTTGGGAAGCTGGAGTTGAAGCTGGCTTATTATTACGAGAAGGAGATGGCCCGCTTCTTCTAGCCATTGACATAACAGCCTGTGCCTGGCGTACATTGATGAAAGCAAGCATTAGAACAATAGACATCCAATGTTGTGAGCTATAAACACGCCCATGGATTAATGGACACTTAAATGGTATACCTGTTCAGGGGAGACTTCATCATAAACACAAACAGAACCAGCATAAAAGATGGTTAACTGGGCAGAGGAGCCAGAGAACTTGGGGGTATTCCTGCAAATTCAATCCGACAGTACAAGTATTTAGATTTACTTTCACTGCCTTTTATCACCTTCAATACATGTAATACATAATGTTTTTACATATCTACTAACCGGGGCTCGGTAGTGCCAATTACAGAGCTTGTTGAAGCTGGAACGACAGGAATAGGTGTTGCAACTGGAACCCCACCGAGGGGTTGTATGGTCATGGAGTTTCTGAAACCGCTATGTGTAGTGGAAGCAAAATGAGACTGCAGAACAGGAGTGCCCAAAGAAAGAGGAGCATTTTGGTGTCCGTTAGACAGAGGGAACTTTTTAATATCCTTGGTGGATCCCAAAGGGAATGCATCAATGTGCTGCTGCATTGGGCGAGCTGCCATTTTGCGATGATGGCTTCCAGCTTCCATCCAATTTTTCTGCAGAAGAAAACGGAGTACGAGTGCTTTGATATAAGTTGACTGCAACTTAAAATGGATTGGCAGTAGAACACATAACTTTTCTTTTTGCTCCACCAAATAGAATAGAACAGCTAATGGAAAGAAGCACACAAACAGGGAGCTGCAGTGGAGGACCTGTATGAAGGAAGCAGAGCCTCTCTTGTTGCTGGAGTCGAAAGTATCAGCATTTGAGATAGACATGAAGCTTGACGAGGCTACCGGATCAAATATACTTTTCCTTGGTTTGTCTTCAGGAGCAGTCTGAAATGACAAAAACTGTGGAACAGCAGAAACCTTGTTGGATGAAAATGACCACTGAGCTCCTCCAGAGTTCCTCATGGTCACTGCAAGAGCAAAAGAACATGGAAAAGAATGCCTCATTGGTTACAACTCCTATTGCATCTCAAACCATAGATATCCCATTAAATTAATCTTAGGATAACTGACACAAGTACGTCCATAAAATGTAAGATAAAAACTACAGGACAGTCAACAGGTGGAAGATTAGACACTGCTTTCAGGTTCACATTAAGTAATCAGTTATCACATGGGGGAAAAAGCACGTTCTCAAACCATTAAAGGGCGAATCTTTAGATTAAAATATTCACAAGGAACCCAGTATTTTAAAACTAACAGACAAATGTAAACGTAAGCAGAACAAATTGAAGAGCCATAAGATTATCACCAAGATCATAAGCAATCAGGGGACTTCATACAAACAAGCTCTATGATACCAACCCAACTGATTCAATCAACCTCCAATTCATAAGAAAGCTGCCAGTGACTTGCAAGTTTCTGGTTACACAGGGATTCTCCTTGGCATTCAATGAAAAGGGTCACCGTCAATTAAGGCACAACTTAATTACTTACAACCAGATAAAGAAAAAGACAACGACTTTACTTTTTATTTACCCATAAAAATTAAAACAATAAATAGAACCTGAACCACAATACAAGAAAAGAGAAACCATCCTAGCGAGCAGCCGATGTCACATGACGAGAAACCGTGTGCGATTGAAACAAACCATTAGTTTATTGCAAATCAACAAGATTAATGATTTATATATAAAAAAAAAAAAAAGTAGGTTGCACCTGCCAAGAGTAGCCAGCCAGCAATCTCGTTCAGAAAACAATAATTCTTTTTCATGATAATCCAAAAAATATTAATAATATCGATAGTAGGGAAGTGTTCTATTTTTCCGGTCTGCACCCACTAACATTGAATAAGACATTTGAAAAAGAAAAAAGCCATTCACATGTTAGATTCAAAGGCCATTCTGATTCTGATGAGAGCTACTTTAACTCGATAATAGTTTATGCATTCCATTCACATCATGCAATGCAACCATTGTTTAATCTTAAATTGTTGAGAACGAAAGCATCCAAACGATTTGTCCGGAAACCAAAATTTTTGAAGGAAAAAAAAAAAGCTTTTTCACTTTTGTTTAATGAAAATCAATCGTACAGCAACTTGCTCTTTGTTTGTCACGTTTGGGTGCCGAGAGGAGAGATGCTCTCTCATTATTATTTCTTTAAGGTAGTGGTCCTTGCCAACTGTCAAACCAAAGTTGCTTTCCATCTCATAGCACATTTTCCATGGTTTCCTTCCTATCTTTTTAAGCTCAAACTTACAGATTCACTTATTAGCTTCACCTAATCAGATCTTGCTGGGGTCGTTTGGATTAGTGAATGTGATGAGGGATTTATGAGTGATTTTAAAACAATCTCTCGTTGTGCAGGATTTTAAAACAATTCTGCGTTTGGAAAGGTGAGAGATTGTGGGCATGAGGAAATTCTAAATCTCTCATATGAGAGTTTTTAAAATAGCTGATGGGGATCAGCTATTTCACAATCACTCATTTTTTCTCATTCTTTTCCAAACTCTGCCCCTCCTTTTGTTCTTCCTTTCTTATTCTTCCTTAGGGATTAGGGATGGGTATAATTGTAACTTTAATATTTAATTAAAATCCTTCACCTATTCCCAAACATGTTATTTGGATAAAATCCCACGTTTAAAATACCTGGGTTTTTAATTGAGAGATTTTAATCCAAATCCCTCATTTACACATTCCCTAATCCAAACGACCCCGAAGGGATTAGCTTAAATAGTGATGCAAGGAAGATAACTTCCAAACATCAGATTAAAGCCTAGAGATTAAAGTTTGAACCTTGATATAATTTCCCCTTTCTAGAATAGATTTGTACTAGAAAATAAATACTAAGCTAAGGGTGAATTTCGCACGATGGTTCACATTTCAAGATCAGCCTGTGGAGCACTACCATATTCAACCCCACATTCATTTCTTTGGGGGGGTTTTTTTTTAAACTAAAATAGAGGTATCATTTTCAAGACAAACATAACATGGCCCACCTCAATTAATTAGTATTATATTACACCGTTCAGATTTCAGAAGAAAAAATAATATATTTCTATTATCCAAGTGGTTTTCTTTTTATTTATCTACATGCAAGTAGTAATTAACTACTTGCCAAGGTTGACAGTAAAAAGCAGTCTAACAATACAATCACTGATTTTCAACATGCAAATTCTAGATTCAAATCTCAAAATGAACTTCCCCTCCCTCACAGACCCCAATCAGTACCATGTGAAAAGAAAATATTGTCACACTCATGAAATTGATTAATTAAAAAAAAAAGAGAGAAAGCGAAAGATGAATTGTTGATTAGTCATGGTCATGTCCTATAGCTAGCAAACCTTCAATCTTATCCCCATATATCTATTTTGTATGGTTCCTTTATTTTAATATCCTAGGACTAGGAGTGCATTACTTGCCCACATTATAGCATTTATTTTATTATTTTTTAAAAAAAAAGGCAAGAAAAAAGAGATATATCTATTTTATAAATAAAAAAGGAGCATGCTTTCCACACCAAACCTTCATAGCCACCAACTAAGCCCCACACCATTCCCAGTTTCTTATTTTGACCCAAAACCCAACCCCATCCCCCAACACACAACATGTGACCTTATTCCATTCCACGCACCCATCGCGCATTTTAGCATCCCACCATTAACCAAATTTTAATTAATATGTTTTTATCGGAATGATAATAATAACAATAATTATTATTATACAGCCTCATGATATGACCGAAACTAATTTTGAAATGTTTCCTTATAAAGCACTGAATTTTCAGTTATTTTCTTTTTATATTTGGTCCTCCCTCGTTTCCCAGCCTGCTGCCTAGGCTAGGGTTACTTGTTGTACTTGTACTTGCACCATGCTTCAAAAATATTTGCACCATGTGCTCCATAATTGACCTATTTTCTTTTCTTTTTTAATAAATTCAGAAACGTAAATTGTAAGCCGAAGAAAAGAAAAGGGAAAATAATATCCTCAAAAATTACAGGATGGAAGGAAAATATAATTAAAACGGTATTGGCTACCAAAAAAAAATTGCACATGCTATTTTTGGTCAAGCCAGGCGAACGATCTGGAAAGAAAAATTTCACAATTAACCGTTCGGATACAAGCTCCGGGAATAACGTATGCAATCCTAATTGGTGGAAAACGATGGTTTCGCTCCAGCAGAATAGAATTGAGCAATCTAATAATGAACAGAGGGAAATAATTTTTGAAATTCGAATCTTGGAAGGAAGGAAGGAGGAAGAGAGAGCGTACCGGAATCCTTGGCGGCGGATTCTGCAGGAGTCTCCTCCTTCACGGTAGCCTTGTTCAGGTGCTGCGATCCCAACCCCATGAAATCTCGCTCCATATCTCGGCGGCGTGGGAATTAGGTCTCAACCGAGGAAATTTCTCGCGGAATCTTCTACTTTCCCGAATTAGATTAATTCGGAACGGGAGAGGACAGAATCGGAGGAAGTGGTGGGCGGCGGCTATGGTGATGCTTTGCTGAGGTCTCTGTGCGGTGGAAGGGAGAGAGAGAGAGAGAGGGAGGGAGAGAGAGAGAGAAGGAAGGAAATAAAGAAAAATGAGAAGACGGAACAGAGTGGTGATTTTTGGAAATGGAAAACGTGAAGTCGCTCTTTTCGTTACTTTTTTTTATTATTTTATTTGTTCAGTCTTTTGTGACTAAATCACCAATTGGTACCGGTAATCAAGTCATATGTACTTTTCAGCCCCTATACACTAAAAGTTTTCAACTTTTGATACCTTTCAAGTTTTTTTATTCATAGATATCCCGGATAAACCAAGTAAATGCGAGGTAATACCACAAACATTTTGATACCTTCGCAGACTCAAAGAGAAACAAGATAAGAGAAATCAGAATCGCGATGTCGTCGTGGGGTGGTAGGAGGATGGTGTGGAAGAGAGAGTATGGCAAGTCGGTGATCAGCACGATGCTAGAGCAGTCGTTGGTGAAGAGAGGTTGTGGTAAATTGGGTATGTGGAGGAAAACTACATTGTTAAGCCCTTTCCAAAGCAGCCATCGTAGAAGTACCGAGTAAGTAATTTTGTCATTATCGGAGTAGAAGATGAGGTTGTGCCAAAGCAATAAAATGTGAGTAGAGAAAACAATTCCAACCGGCAACTTGAGAGCAAGGATATGGCAGAATGACAGAGTCACGCGACTTTGGTTCCTTGCAAGTCGCAAGTGACTCCTTTAGAAAAATCACTATTGGTGTCCATTTTATCATGGATTTTCATTAATATGTATCTAAAAGACTCATATCATGAATGTGTTCGATCGAATGAGATTAGTTTATATAGAAACGCATCTTGATTGCATGCTAGTGAGTCGAGAGTCGGTGATGAGAAATTTTTTGGATTTTAATAAACATATAATCTTTTTTATTTTATGAAATGAAATTTTCTTTTCAAAATATAGTACTTATATTCTACTTTTCATGTAAACCCAACTTAAAACTAACCAAGCAACAAGGCCCCTATAGCTCAGTGGTAGAGCGTCAGTCTTGTAAACTGAAGGTCCGTAGTTCGATCCTGCGTGGGGGCACCAATTTATGAGAAGGAAAGTTAAGCAAAATCTTGCTAGTTTAGAAAATAAATGAATTTTTTTTTTTCTATAGTTCAACTCCTATCTATCTACAACATTCATGTGGAATTTTTCTCTCTCGTCCGTAATGCCCCAAATCTACAATAAGAAAACTTTACAAAAAAAAACTTTAGAAAGTTATAAATACATAATTCTCTTTTTCCCCCTAAAATTCAACTCCTACAATGCCCCAAATCTACAATAAGAAAACTTTACAAAAAAAAACTTTGGAAAGTTATAAATACATAATTCTCTTTTTTTCTCTACAATTCAACTCCTACCTATCGGAAACGTTCATCTGGAATTCTTTTCTCTCTTCCATATCAACATCGTCGAGGTTTCTTCGTTCATCGCACTACATGCCCGACATCATACTGCACAAAAGTACATCACATGAGTGTAAGTTGGATAGGTCAATCATTGATGTAAAATGAATCCCCCATCATTCATTTATAGGGGATGGCATATTTGGCTAGTTCAAAGTTGAAGGACTGAAGCGTATGTTACCATACTTGGAGCATTAAAAGACCAATAAAAATAATTAGGGATGGGGAATTTGGCACTGCGTGCGTTTTTCGCCCCGGTATAATAATAATAATAATAATAATAATAATAATAAGCTATCCCTTTCAAAGAAGAAAAAAAGAGCCAGCCACCCAGACCCAGTTGAATGAACCGGTCAGCCGGTGGGAGGGAACCGGGACCAGTCGGTTCTTTTACCCTCTGTTTACGAAGGAAGGGAGGAAAAGGAGGGGAGGTGAAGGAAAATTAGGAGGGGAGGGGAGATTTGGAGGTGAAGGAAATTGGAAGGAAAATGGTGTTTTATGGAGGAAAGTGGGAAAGAAAATGTGTATAGGGAAATGTGACAGATATGTTATTTTATTGGGTATATAATAGTAAAATAATTTGATTATATGTTGATATTATTTTCATTAGTTATGAATTGTGAATTAAATTTGTAATTTCTTGCTAATTTTGTTCACTATTAAAAATCAAAAGTAGATGGTTTGAATTTTTTTATGAACTTATTGTTAAAATTTTGTCTCCATTTTATTGATTCGTCAACATAACAACTAAAATCGGAAACATACAACAAATCACACTAGCCCCTCCCTAACATTCATTCTATAAAAATTTCAAACTTTGATGTCGTTTCTACTAGCAACGTAACATTTTAGGTATAGCGTAAAACAACGTTATACGTGATGTAAATCACTCATTTGGTCTGGCTTGGTCTGATCCAAATATTAATTCAATCCATTTTCTTTAACAATTATAAAATTCATGTGACTAGGAATCGGACCACATTATAATATGTTTGGTGTCATTCGATCCAAACGTTTGTTTGATCCGATGCGGTCCGGACCATTGCGCACAGCCCTAGATGAGCTGCAAAAACAATGTGAATTCAAACTAAAAATTTCATTACATTATATTGATGCGTAATTTTTCATATCAAGTCACCACAAAATATGACCTAGGGACCATTATTTTAATTATAAGGATCAATACCAATTTTCAACGGAAATAGATAAGCAAATTTACTTATTCCTATCATTATCTATAACTCACCATCTTGTTATAATTTTTTATGCTCCCTTTCTCATTGTAATAAAACCCAATAAATTATGCACGTTTTTCTACTAGACATTTTTATCTATAACTCACTACAATTAATAATGGGTGAGAAGATACATAAAAGAGAGGTCACTACAATTAATAATGGGTGAGAAGATACATAAAAGAGACGAGAGAGAAGAGAGATGACAAATAAAGTAAACAAAATGGCTGTTAGTGGGTCGTTTTCTCTCCATTTTGGAGGGTTGGATTCCACAGTAATCTTTCCCCCATTTTCCCTCCCTTCATCACTGTTCTAAACTTAAAAAACAGAGGAAAGTGCATTGGTACCTCAACTTTCCATTCATTTCTTTCCCTCCCTTCCTTTTCCTTCCTATAAAAACACAGGGTTAGAGACCACGTGCGTGATCCAACTCGGATTGATGGCTCCATTTCTGCAGAGAGGAAGGCTTCTCTCGGTGACGGTGTTATCCATCTAACGCTTTGCTTGCCTCCCTCGTGAATCCATAAAATAATCATTTCTATTTCTTATTTTTATTTTTATTTTGCGGTGGGTTCGGTTGTTTGTTTTACTGCATTTTTAGCGTGTTGTAATGGTTACTTTTTCTGGTGGTGGCTGGGTGCTCCTTTTTACTGGATTCAAATCTCCCTACCTTGACAGTAAAAAAAAAAAACAGTTTTTTATTAGGGCCAGGGATCTGAATTCGGCAATGGAAATTTTCACGCAGATTCTTTTAAATGGTCATTTAAGCACACTAAAGTAGTAGCCTAATATTGGATTTGTTTTAGATGATTAAGTTTGCATGTTCAAATAGAAAAGGGTTGTTCGGATTCAAGTTTTAATCGAAATTTCACAAAATTCTAGGAACCACAAAATTCATTGGCATTTTACAGGTGCACAAACTTCTACTAATACTAGCTAGCTGCCTCGTTGGGTCTTGATATTTTTTTTCAGGAGCACGATGTTGAGTTTCTGGGACATGTCTATATATGTACATGTGCACGCACATGCATGAATATGTGTCGTTTTGAATTAGATAATGATGTTTGCTTCTACAAGATGGTTTATGACACTTGCAGAAATCTGCCGCTGGGAGAGGAGCCAAGCGGCAACCTACTAAGGTAAAGATTTATATACAAAACTGGTAAATTTACAGAACGTGCTACGAGTAAGTCGAATTATAAAAGTGAGATCGTGCTAGACAAACACTAAAAACCATCCGATCTAAGATGTGAAGAAAACTGGAGAAGTAAAAAAAAAAAAAAATTGTACATTTTTGTATGGTATGGTCCGAGATCCTTTGAAAAGAAAGCACCCCATGTCGGCTTAGCATGGAGATGAAAATTCCGCCCTCGTGGTCGTGGGACATTACCTTTAACGACTGACATCAAAATGTAGGCCCAAGAGACAGAGAGCGGAGGCATACCCGTACAACATTGGAAAAGTAGTTACCCATATTCACCAAATTAATAAACAAACTCTGCAAAAAATAAATCAGCTAGTTTTTTTTTTTTTTTTTTTTGGAAGAAGCAAAAACTGAAAGTAGCTAACCGTCGACGTAGGAGGAATTTAATCGCCGAAACCGCCCTTTGCCTCTTCTATTCCATAAAGAGCCATTGGCCACCGGCCCCATCCATCACTTCAACGGCTTCCTCCTTCTATAATCCACACACCACAAATATCTGTACGACAATCATGGAATCCATACAAACTTTCCTCCTTTCTGCTTCAAGTTACTGTCGATATAGCGATCAAACTCATCAGTAGGTATTTGAACATCTCCCACTCAATCAACGTTGGAATCCACCATTGATTAGATATTGAGCGGGTATGAGTAAAACTTCACAAAAAGTTTGATGGAGATAAACCACACCTGCCCAATACTCATACACATCCAACTAGGGGTGGGCAATGGGCGGGTTGGGGGGTTTTGATCTCAAATTGGCCCACCTGTTTCCTAGCGAGTTGGAATAATTGTGACCCGCTATCCACCCACATACCTCTGTGAGTTGGGTTGGGTGGGTGACAGATGAGTGCGGTTGGGTCTTGGGTCAACCCGCAAAAACAATTCTCCAACTAGCCATTAAGAAAATTGAGTAACATTTATAATAAGTTCATAACAAATTAGTAAGATTGTATCAATAATCTGTGATTTTGATACAATTAATAATTGATAGTTTGCATCTCAATATTTAATTGATTTTAACAATAATTTGCATACCAATATCCAATATCTAATAGATATTGCACAACACAAAACCAATAATAGTAGTCAAAACTATTCTTTATTTTCCACTTTTTGAAGTATATGGTCATATTATAGTGCAGTTCGAAAATATGATGAATATTCGATACTATAAGAAACAACATTTTTTCATGTAAAAATAGGATGCGGGTCATACGGGTGACCCGCAATCCACCCACCCACCACCCACAAGCCCACATAAGTGAGGGTGGAAGATTTATCAATCCACAATCCACCCACATCAATCACCATTTGCGTGCGGGTCGAGTTATTTGCGGATGGATCGATATCAATCCGCAGAGTAACCACCCACATGCCCACCCCTACATCCAACCAAAAGACTTTTTTCATGTACAAAAGAATATAGAGGTCATATTGTAATCTCTCAATGAAGGGTTGGGTAATTGGAAAAAAAAAAAGAGGTTAAACATATTTGAATAGCCACCAAACCAAACCCTAATTTCTTTCTCTCAAATTCACTCTCACTTTAAAGGGAAATACTTTCCCAATGGGTCTTTTCTCATGGCGACGCCTCGCTCCCGTCCGTTATGGAGATGGCAGAGTATCCTCTTTGGCCGCCAATTGTTGGAAACAGGTCTTCGGTGGCAGATTGGTAATGCCTAGAAGGCCCCTTTACTCTCCTCCAACTAGATCCCTCATCAACATCCCTTCCCCCCTATGTATAACCTTTGCGTGATCCCGGAGGGGGAGGTTTTGAAGGTAGCAGAGGTTATTCAGCCAGGGGAAGGGAAGTGGTGCGATCTTAAGCTTAGCCAGTGGTTCCATCCTCAGACATGTCGAGACATTAGGGCCATTACAGTGCCTCGCCTGAATATTGAGGATAAACTAATTTGGCATGGGACTTCTGATGGGGTTTTCACGGTTGAATCGGCCTACCATTTGGCGGTCAATTTAGATCGACAAAAAGGGAGATGGAGAGCTCAGGCTAGCTGGATGGATAAAGCTAGTTGGATCCGATTATGGGATGCCAATATTCCCCAAAAACTGAAGGTGTTTGTCTGGCAACTCTTCCATAGAATTTTACCTACTACGGAGGCCCTGATTGAGAAGAAAGTTGCAGTGTTACCTAGATGCCCAGTGTGTTGGGCAGCTTCGGAGACTCTAGAACATATGTTTCTGGGCTGTCCGGTTGCTCGTGCCCTTTGGGATCATTCTGGGCTTGCTCACCTTGGAGAAGGGTTGCCTCGTCATACCTTCTCCCTCTTTCTGAAGAAATTATTGGCTTTGATTTATCAGCCAATTTTGATAATGTCGGTTGTTGCCGTCCTATGGCGGATCTAGCTATCTCGAAACTGGGTTGTCTTTGACGGAAAGCAGTTTGGGATCCCCGCTTTGATGCGGCAGTTTAACCAACAGGTCCTGGCATGGGTTAATCTACCAGTGGACCGGGTCCTTCATGCTCCTCACCCCCTTCTCCTCCCTTGGATCCAATTGGGTTGAATTTTGTGATTTGTATGTGGGATGGGGCGGTTAGGAGTGGGTCTTATTCGGCAGGTGGGATGGTCCTCATGACTCCAAATAGAGAGGTTCTTTTGGTTAAGGGGGTCCAATTCCCTGAGTTGGATGACCCTATGATGATTGAGGTGCTTGTTCTCCGGGAGGCCATCGCGTGGTGCGTGGGTACTGGCTTCACTGCAGTTCGGTTTGAAGGTGATGCCCAGGTTATCATAGAGAAGATCTTCCGAAGGGATATTAGGGATAACCGAGTGGGGTCGATTCTTGAAGAATTCGTCCAGTCCTTTGACATGAATATGGGTTTCAATGAACTATTTCTTTGTACCCGACTACGAGTCGTTTATTTGATTTTCAGGCCTGGCTAAATTCCAGAATGTAACTATCTATTTGTTCAATCAATATATAATTATCTTTTGTCAAAAAAAAAATCACATGCACTTCTTTTCTCCTTGTTAACAAGATTATGCTACTTATATATTGCTTAGTAGATGTGATAGAGTAGGAGATGGAACGATTTAAATAGTATTGTATTTTGTCTTATGGATTAAATGATGGTTTGAGATTAGATGCTTTGAATTCGTATTAAAAATTATTTTATTATTTATTGTTAGTTTTATATTTAAAAATCTACATTAAAAGTTTTATGTATAACAATATTGGATATAAAAGGCGGGTATTACCCATAATCTCGATCATCGTATGCAGACAACGACACTGTTGTAAATAACGCTCCATGTCGTTGGCTCACGCTAACGCCTACCATTGAGAGAATTTGGGACAAGAATTGTGAAATCGTACAAGATATTATAATGGAAATGTTAGTTGTAGGTTTATGATATTGGTTCAGGCGCGAATGGTGGTAGTGGGAGCAGAAGAGTAGAACATGATCGTCACCTCATATTCATCTCATCATCAAACCCTATATAGATTACAAAAAAGACCCACAATCCCCAATTGCTGTTCAAATAAATATCCAAACATAAAATGGTTTTCCATGTCCAAGGCAAAGCTACGTTGAATTAAGAAGGAGCCTCAAAATTCACTTGTTCGTTCAACAGTGCTCAAAACCTCATCTCTTTTCTGTTCCCTTTAGCTAACTCGGAACACTCTTTTTTCTGTTCGGTTACGTCCCTGTTGCCTAAACCTCTCTATTCAGTTCCAAGACGTTACTACTGCTACTACTACTGGGTGGAGAGAGAACGAGAGAGAGGCCTCTCACCACCTATTGTTTGGTGGCTTCACCTTGTATATCCGAACGATCCAGTTGCTTGTTGTGAATGCCTCTTCCAGGTGCTCGAGTTTGATATCCTTGTTCCCGATCTCGACTCCTCTCGCTCGATCAAATCTACAGCAGCAAGAATTTTTCAAATCAAATCATTCCCATAACTATACAATGGCCAACCAATCACATTCAGAATACAACTGCACATTCTGGTTATCAAGTTAGTTGGTAAACTGGGCAACAAGCAAAACATATATGCATACAAGGCGGCCAACATTCAGCAAACGGCCTACATATATAATCACACAACTTCTTTAAATTGACTAGTGAATTCCAACTTACCCAGGAGGTTTTCCATACTCTGTCATCAGCTCTCCAAACCGGTAGTAACACAGCTTATACCTATCAACCAACAATAAAACAAGCAAGTTACACAATTGTATCACCACAGGTACGGTATGAGGTGCAATTCACAGATGATATCAAGGTAATTTGTCCAGGACGGACCGCAAATGTTGGACCAACTCAATTGTTTATCGTTTATCATAAGTTCATAACACACTTAGATGGAAGGTTAAATCAGTTAACACTCAATCAGATAAAGATGGTTCAAACAAGAAACATAAACTTACATGAGACAGTTCAGCATCTTGGGGGCTGCACCTTTGTCGACCCGGTATTCACCATTGACTAGGTAATCAGGTTCCTTAATAACAGGAAATACTCCACCTCCAATTCTCACCATCCACAAGAACCTGTTCAGAACAATTCATGTTAGTCGGATAGTAAAGCAACCACAAGCATGCTTACTCTGAGAAGCAGCTAAAGCAAGGATGAGCTTGAAGAAAAAATATTATGGTGTCTACTACAATGTGTCATTCAATTACGTAGGATATGTGCATCAAAGAAATCAAAAGACAACTATGTAAGTTTCATTTATCCAGATATTTGGAGGAAAACTCTAACGTGCATTAGATCCAGGTATCTCTATTTATCCCTAGAACAAGCTCCAGAACGCTAATGCCTTCCCAGAGTAGCTTGGGTTACTGATGGTTTAGGCTTTGTTTGGTCTTTTAAAGTGGATATATATATGTTATTGGATTTTTAGAATAATTTTTAGAAATCTAACATTAAAGTATCAAAGACTTTATAAATGGAAAGTTGATGAGATATGGTATCTTTTCTAGGTAGTTAAAAATTAGTTATTGGAGCAGTAAGATATCTTTATGCTCATACGGAAATGGACAGGTTCTGCGAAATAACTGTAACGGCTGAATTAGATTCTCTTGATAAGAAGCAACATTAGAAACCTATTTTAATTGATTGTGAAATTTATAAGTTGATTGACTGTATGTCCTACCAATAAATAGTAGCTCTATCCAAACTTTATATAAAGGGTTAACAAGTATAATCGTTAAAATTTCAGAATCAAATTGTCAGCTTTCCTTCTTACACATGGGAATCTTAGCGAACTCATTAAAACATAATACAGAAATGCTGCTGAGGATTGAGCTTGGACTTACTTGTTGATATCATCAGATGAATAACCAGTAACTCCACCAAAAACAACCAAGACATAACCCACGTCTAGTTCTCTCATGATCTCGTAGGCCTCATCTTCATAAGATGACATTGCACGCCCAACAGTGGCAATGTGTGTATTATTCCAGGTATTGTTGTCAACAATAACTGTTCTGTTTGCCATGGCCGTGATTTGGTAACCATAATCCCACCATGACATCACCTTAGCATCAGTTGGAGTATTCTGCTGGAGCCAAAAGTATGCCTCGCGGTAATCATCAAAGATGACCTTATTGCCATGGGCACCTCTTGCAGCCAACACAATTGAAGGAGATGAATAGGCCTCTGATGTCACCCACGTACAGTGAGTTGCGTACTTACTAAGCAAGTAAAAGACACCAAGCAGCAATGCGATTGCCCCATTTCTTTGAAATGGCTGAGATTGATCAAGTAGAGCCTGTTTATGAACCAACATGAGTAAGCAGCATTATTTCAAAATATCCACCACGTAAAAGCAAAACAATAGCTTATAAAAAAGCTGCCCAGTTAGTAGCTACGATATACAGTTTCCAGTTGATACACCTAATGTCGAGATTAATGCCAACTTTACATCCTTTTAGTACATTCCATAAGTTTCTCATTACAGAAACCCCTAGAAGCCATGGCTGTGCATACATATCAGTTTCCAGTTGATACACCTAATCATACTGCTGAAGAGTGATTGATAAGTAACGTGGCATCAATGTAAGGTCCATCACAATGTAGCACCTCCTTCGATTAGAACATAAACCATTACGCAAGCATACCAATTTCATGGCCTAACTACGAAAATGACTACACTCCTAACAAAAATACTTGATCAACAATATGTTCCAGTCAATAGCAGTTCATCTAGATATAAGTTCAAGCACATGACTATTCAGGTCAAATGAATATCACAATCCCAGGTAGTTAAAAAAAATGCAAAAAACAAAGTGAATCAGAAGTGAATCCAATAGAACTCACCTTGGAGGAAGCCTTTGAGCCACTAGCTGCTTTAGAAGAACCACCTTGTGTTACCTTGCTCTTAGTCCTCAAAAGTTGTGCCAAATTCTTCACAGTGGCAGAAACAGCAATTGCACTGATTAGGCAAACTGCTGGTGTGGCGACAAGAATCAACCGAACCATAACGCCAGCAAAGTACATACTGGTGAGACCATACATAACAATAAATATCGTGGCATCCGTCAGCCGCTTGAAGCAGAAGTAGAGACCCGCAGGGAAAAGGAAAAGCAAGATGTGGAAATCAAACATGAAGGACGACCACGCTGTCGGCTGATGCTCGGATACAGATGCAATGATTGGGATGTGATCCTTTGCATAAGTGGGATCCAAAAGAGAGTAGAATCTTCCTGTCCATGGAGAAATATACCCAGATGCTGTACCCACTCCTAGAGCAACAGCAGCTAACCCCACTGTGGTAGTCACAGTGATCCTCAAGAAGGTTTCAAACAGTCTTTTATCACTTAACAAGTACTTCACCCAGTCCAAGAAGTAAAACACCTGCCATCAGACAGTGAACATTAGCAAAAGCTTGAAACTTTCAGAAATTCCAACAAGAAAATGTCATACAGTTACCATTACATCATGTAATTGAAACATCAGAAATAAAAGCACAAGAAACTAGGGTACTCCGACTTCAATTAGCTAGACAAACTCTACCACTCTAATTCAGGATATCACAATACTCACCTGCATCAAGAAGAACACTCCCATGGCTGCCATGTGTTCACCAGATTGCACATGCTGAAACCCGACAAATCGAATCTGCATAGCGAGCAGCATTCCAAGCACGTACATACAATTGTACGCAATGTACAGCCTCACGGAGTACCTCCCGGTGATCAACAGCACTAGTACATAGAGCGGGATCAAGTTAATAATAAACACATACCCACCCCAAGCAGAGACCATATAGAAATACCCAAAAGCCGAAGCCAGCGACCAAGTTAGAGACCCAGTGTTCACAGCTTTAACAAACAAGTAAAACGTCAACAACAGGGCGAAAATGGCGACCCCTTCATTATCATAAGACCCCGCCACCGATCGCGAAATGTAACCAGGGCAAATCGCAATCAACGCAGCGGCGACAAGCCCAGCGCTGGAATCCCAAATCTCCTTGCCAAAGAAATAGGCCACCAGGGTGGTATTGGACGCGAAGAAAGGCGCCGTCAGGACGCATACCTCACGGATGTGAACGGCGAATCGGAGGAAACGGAGGCCCCAGTAAATCAGCGCGGCGGTGACCATCAGACCAGGGTAGAGAGTGCCGCCGACAATGCGGCCGAGTGGGTACCAGCTCTCGTAATCGAACCAGTTCCAGAACTCGTAGAACCCTTTCTCGGTGAGGAAGAGGGTGGTGCGGTAATTGAAGTAGGGATCGAATTCGTGGATCATGGACTCGTAGCGGAGCACACTGAACAACCGGGTGATGAAGGCCAGCACGTAGACGAGGAAGAGGATGGAGACGCGGAGCAGGAGCTCCTGCTGCTTGGTCTTCAGCTTAAAGGATTTGAGAGACAGTTTGTTGAGCAGATCTGATTTGAGATTGGCGGGTAGCGCCATGGGTGGAGGAGCTTGGTTGGAGGTGGATTTCGCAGTGCCGTTGACGCCGATGGTGGCGTCCGTCTTCGCGGACATGGTTTGGGGAGGCATGTTTGATTCAGTGGTGGCGATCTGAGATAGAGAAGGGGGAAATGGTGGTGGAGGTTTGGGGGAGTGGGGAAGGAAGGAAGGAGGGATCCGATTAGGGGAGAAAAGGGAAGAGTAGACGACTTCTTCTTCCCATAATTTGTTTCAGTGCAGTGCAGTGGGAGTGCGGAGCTTAGAGAAGGGAATCGGCCAACACTCTTGTCCTGTGATTGAGATGAGAGGGGTTTAAGGTTAGGGATCAGGGAATTTTAAGTTTTATTTTCAGATAATTACAGAAAAAGGGTAAAATGCAGCTATTAAACTTCTTGTTTTGGTGAAGTTATATCACTTAAATTACAATATAGTACTAGATACTATTAAACTCAATAAAATGTGCATCAGTTAAAATTTCCATTCATCTAACGGGTTAAAGACACATTTGGTCACTGAGATTACAAAATCGGGACATGTTTAGTCACTAGAAAAAATTAATATCAAATTTGGTCACTACAATTATTAAAACTGGACACATTTAGTCACTCGCCGTTAGTCTCCGTCCAACTCCGTTAATGAAGTCCGTTAAGTGATGATGTGACAAACAGAATTGCCTAATCAGCCGGATATAACCCAACAAAAATAAAACCCGACCCGCCACGTCATTATAACCCGCCACGTCATTTAAACCAACCCAACCCATGACCCAACCCCACCCAACCCTTCTTCCTCCTTCCTCTCACCGAGTAATTGATATTGTTCCTTCTCGATTGCCAGCAGCACATTGATCATGTCTTCTTCAGCTCCTTCCCTTCCAGGCTTAGGTGTTCATTGATCATTGTGGAGGCAGATGCTGATATTTCAGAGATGGAGTCGATCAGCAGGCCAACTTCTTCCTCCCGAACAAAACGAAACGCCTTCATCCTCTTTAAGCTGAAGAGCTCGAGTATAAACATTTTCCTCATGAACCTCCTGCACTTTTCTCACCAACCCAACACTCCCATTCGCCAATGGCCTGAGAACCCACACAAGCAAGCACGAGCAACAATAAGAAGAAGGTAGAAATGCAGAATTAGTTGAACTGATTGTTCCGCCTGACGTCATTTTCCGGCGGGAGAGGGAGGGGAGGGTGGGTATGGGTGCGTCGCTATCGAACCTGACGGAAGGTGCGAACGGCGCCGCCATAGGGCCAGGGCTTGGCGACATTCCGGAGAGCTGCGTGGCCTGCGTCTTCACCTACTTGACGCCGCCGGAGATTTGCAACCTCGCGCGCCTCAACCACTCGTTCCGCGGCGCGGCGTCGTCGGACTCCGTTTGGGAGAAGAAGCTACCGAGGAACTACCTGGATCTGCTCGATTTGCTGCCTCCCGACCGCCACAGGGACTTGTCGAAGAAGAAGGACATCTACGCTCTCCTCTCCAGGCCCGTCCCCTTCGACGACGGCAACAAGGTTTTTTTTTTTTACTTTATTCTCTGTCGATTCGATTTCCCTTATGTGTGGATTGAATTCGTTTTGATGTCTGGATTGAATTCGAATTTGGGGAAAGAAGGAGGTGAGAGGAAGGACGAAGAAGGGTCGGGTGGGGTTGGGTCATGGGTTGGGTTGGGTTGGGTTGGGTTGGATTGGGTTGGGTTAAATGACGTGGCGGGTTATAATGACGTGGCGGGTCGGGTTTTATTTTTGTTGGGTTATATCTGACTGATTAGGCAATTCTGTTTGCCACATCATCACTTAACGGACTTCATTAACGGAGTTGGACGGAGACTAACGGCGAGTGACTAAATGTGTCCAGTTTTAGTAATTGTAGTGACCAAATTTGATATTAATTTTTTCTAGTGACTAAACATGTCCCGATTTTGTAATCTCAGTGACCAAATGTGTCTTTAACCCTTCATCTAACTAATGGATTGAATAAAATAAATATTTTTTAACCGCACAAGCATGCCACATCACCAGATTTCTACTAACAAAACAAAAGAACCCACTACCCAACCACTACAACTTCGTAAAACACTACCATTGCACAAAACACTAATACCATTCGAGAAATAAAAACACTACCATTTCACAAAACATTAATACCGTTGCAGATTTAATCAATACAAATACATGCAAATTAGTACCATTACATGATAATTGTTCGAGCCAAGATACCCGCGGACGCTTATCCTCCACCACTCCACTCACCCGTTATACGAGCGCCTGGTACCTGCACCCACAAGCGCCTAAGGGCCTTGATCGACCCGTTAGCACTCCGAAGCTCAAGTCAGTGCACTTTTCTAGAGAGATAAGTGCCGAGAAATATTTTAGTGAGAGAAGCCAACCTGCGTAAATGCTACCTACCGAGTACTATTTATACTCGCCGAAGTCCCAACGGTCATCCTGGCACTTGAGCCCACGTCACTGCCTCATTTAATGCATTGTTCGTACGAGAGTCAGGCGCCTGTACGTGGCCACCCGAGAACGCCCCCATAGGAGGCGCCCAGCAGGGACCACTTCGCCAGGTGGCCTTTTTCCTAGCTCCTCCTTCCGTACCACTTGTCCATATTCTTCTTTTGTCGGCATGCGCCTGTCCTCTGCTAAGTGCCCTATCTCATTGTTTGGGCCTGCTTTCTCCTTCCCCCCTCCTGGGCTTGGGCTTTTCTCTACATCCCCAACAATTGTCCCCCAGTTAGGTGCTCATAGCTAACGATGAGTGCCTAACTATGTATAGATGGGCCGATAACACTTCTTGCATGCACCTTGCTGTTGTGTCTCCTTTCGTAGGCCACTCTATAAGCGCTTTCACTACCGGTCCTTGTCCCCCCGGGTCCGCCACTGTACCTGCACGCTCCTCGCAGCCGTGTCCCCTACCGTGTACACCTCTATGGGTGCTTCTTCCATACCTTCTTATCCCCCTGTGTCTGCAACCATACTAACATTCGCCCGCGTCCACCACCAAGAACTCACAAACATTTTCTTTTCATTTCTTCGATTTCTCTCTCCGCCTCCCACAGCTTTCCTTTACCCCTGCCACAGCCTTTGTCGTCCTGCTCTAAAACGCCCATTCTCCCACCAATTCTACATGATACGCCCACTGACCTTCTGTACCAGGCGCCTAACCTTTTCCCACAAGCAGGCGCCCATCTATACACCCGCCCCCTCACCGTGCATTCCAAATTTGAATTTGAATTTTTTTTTTTGGAATGGACGGTGAGGATTTAATCCTAAGGCCGGGCGCGCATTCCAAGATCTGCCCGTTGGGCTTCTCTACATATAAATATGCCAGTCGCTTTCCTCTCCTCTCATTCTTGCGAAACCTCTCTCTCTCTAACTTCCTCTCTCTAAACCTAGCCGCCTAGGCGCCTGTTGTACCAACAAATAAGTGCCAAAACATGTCTCGCCGTTCTGGCTCAGGCGCCCCTTCTCCTAATGCGGTGAAAGACACCGGCACGGCGCCCAACGTTCTCTCTGTGTTGGCGCAACACTTCTCTCCCGATCCCCTCCGCGAGGCCGGCGGCTGGACGCCTCGCAATAAAAGCCAGGCGCCCGTTACTGAGGACACGTCCGCGACGATTATGGCCAACGCCCCTGAAGCATCCGCCGCTAAGGAGAATGCTATCGTGGTGGAGGAGCCTCCTAGCTCACAGGCGCCGATTACCAGCGGTGCGCCTAGTTCGGCAGCGCCCTCAAACCATGCTCCTCGTAAGTTTTTTTTTAGGCGCCCTCAACCCTTAGAACGTAGGATTGATGTGGCCGTTTCCCTCGACCCTTTTAGGCGCGGCGCCCGGGTCCCCCCCTTTGGCTGAATTAGCAATGTCACCGATGTCAGCTGATTCAGGCGCCCCCTCGGATGGATCTGTGAAGATGAGGAGATGGGTGGACACCTTCCCCGTTGGTCAGGCGCCTACCGAGACCAGCCATTTGACCGTGGTCGAGGCTGGTCCCGACCAGGTCTCAACCGTAAAAGGCGCTTGAATTGGAAAACTTGGCCATCTCTCTACAACTTCCCCTTACCTGGGCTTTTGCGCCTGCGTCCCGCGTGGCTCGCATTGGGGTTATTGGTCCCCGATGGCTTGGCATTTATCGGGAATATTTCCGATTTGGGCTCCGCTTTCCCTTAGACGCGATTCTTGAAGGGATTTTGTCGACATGCCAATGCTCCATTGGGCGCCTATCGCCTTCGGTCTTTCTTATCCATATTCTGTTTAGGCTGAAGTGTCGGCAGCATAACGTTGAGCCTACATTTAATCTTTTTCATCACTTCTTCAAGATGCAGTATTGCAACAACTGTCTTTCGCTTCAGAGGCGCCTAGATATCCCCGGCCACTTCTTAACAGAGGCGCCTAAGCTAGGTAGAGAGTGGTTTAGGGGCTTTTTCTTTATGAAACCACGTAAAGAATCGTTTTATGAAAGCGGCGCCCCTTTCACAAGGGGATGGGTGTTTGGGGACCACGAAGCTTTTAACATCGAGGTAACCTTGACGGACGCGGAGAAGGAAGGCGCTCGGCTTCTTTCTTTGCATCATGTTTGTCTTAAGTCTACCGAAGCCCGGACGCCTATCTTGCATGAATATTACCGCGACGGTGGGCTATTATATTGCATGCGCCCACTTTTCTTCCCGCCTGCTCCATGCGCCTGCTTAACGGTTTTCCTTTGTTTTTGTTTGTGTAGGTGTTGACTTCACTTCCGTTGCTTCGTTGATGAAGTCTCAGTTCGCGAACCTGGGGTTGGCGGCCAAGAAGGCGCCCACTTCGAGAAAAGGTGTCAACAAACCCGGTGAGAAGAGCAAGGCTACCTCCTCCAAAGGCGTGACGTCTACCCGGGCCAAGTCTTCCGCGACTGAGACACAGGCGCCTGAGCCGGCGGTGAGCAAGGGGTGCCCCACTCGAAAGGGTAAATCCCCGAAGAGGATCAAGCCCAAGAAGGTTCCCAGTCCTGAGGCGCCTACTGACACGTTGGATACAGGTGAGGCGCCCGATGCAACGGAGGCTAGAGGAGCCTCCGCGCCTATTGTCGACCTTATTCCAGGGGAGGATGCCATCGAGGACGAGGAGCCTTTGTCTCAAAGACTGAAGAGGAAAATGGAAGGCGCCCAGGGTGAGTCGTGGAAGCGCCCCCGGATAGATGATGACATAGAACTGCCAGAGTCGTTGAAGAAATGGCTTCAACCGCCGAAGCATAAGGTGACAATAACTTGCTCAGACCGGGCTGCATTGGAGAGGACAACTGCCATCCACATGGTACTAGCCGCTGGGGACG